GTGTGTCCATGGGCCATCACACACGTGCAGGTGTGTTTGTGGGGTATCACACGTGTGTGTGTGTGTGTGTGTGTTCATGGGATATCATGGGTGTGTAGGTGTGTCTATGGGGTATCACACATGTGCAGGTGTGTTCATGGGGTATCATATGTGTGCAGGTGTGTTCATGGGGTATCACACATGTCCGGGTGTGTGCATGGCAATCACACATGTGCTGGTGTGTCCACGGCCATCATACGTGTGCAGGTGTGTTTGTGGGGCATCACACGTGTGTGTGTGTGTTCATGGGATATCATGGGTGTGCAGGTGTGTCCATGGGGTATCACACATGTCTAGGTGTGTCCATGGGCCATAATAAATGTCCAGGTGTGTCCATGGGCCATCACACATGTCCAGGTGTGTCCATGGGGTATCACACGTGTGTGTGTGTGCATGATGTGTCACACGTGTGAGGGGTGTCCTGGAACAGAGGGCTGTGCACCCCGGGCTGACACAGCTCCCCCCGGGCTGACACAGTTCCCCCCTCCCCAGCCATAACCCCCAGCACTTCCCGATTTCCCGGCGCTTTCCCTCAGCATTCCCGGCGGGAGATGGCGGGTGCGGGCGACGCGAAAGGCCCGCGCTGTTCCGGGGGGACGCGGGGCCAGCCCCGCTCTCTCCGGGTGACCCGCGGGCGCTGCCGCCGCCGCCTCCCCCCATCGCGCCCTGCCCCGTCCCCCCGGGGCTGTTCCCAGCACCGGGACATCTGTCACCTCCCCGTCCCGGTCCCCTGCCCCGCGCCTCAACTTCCCCCCCCGAGCCCCCCCCCGAGAGCCCCCCGCATCCCGCCGGGGATGTTCCCGCAGCCGCCGCCCCCCGAGGCCACCGCGTGTCCCCCCCCTCCCCGATCCACCCGGCGCCAAACCCGGCGCTGGAGCTCGGCCGCGGCGCTGCCGGGTTTGATGGGATTGATGGGATTATCCCGGCGGGCGGGATTACACGGGGAAGAGTGAGGATTAGCCACGGCGCATCGGCACGACACCGCCACGGCCACGCCGGCCGCGCCGCCGGCCAGCGGGCGAACTGGGCCGAACTGGGAGGAACTGGGAGCCAGGTGTGACGCCAGAGCCCAGCGCTGGGGTCTCCCGGGAGAGGAGGCTTCGCCAGCCGCTGTTCAATTAACCGGCTGCCGGGAACCGGCACAAAGAGACAAGAGGGATCTCTTTATCTGCCCCCCTTCTTCCTCCTTTTTTTTTTTTTTTTTTTTTAATTTGACAAAATTGTAATTAAATAGGGAGTAAAATCCCGTTAGCACACGGCAGCCCCGCCGGGATCCCCTCGGTGCCAGCCCACTGCTCTTCCTCTCCCTCCTGCTTCACTCAGGGAGTCCAAACCCCCACCACCCTTTTTAGGGGATGCCACTGAAGCCTGGAGGTCCCTGGGGATGAGCTGGGGACACCCCAAAGCCATCGTGTCCCCTTTTCCGTGGGACTGGGCACTGCCAGGATACAAGACCATCCTTTTGGGTCCCTCCAGCACCATCCTGGGGATGGGAAGGAGAGACCATGGATCTTCCTGGGATGCAGCACCCGAGATCCTGGTGGTGATCCAGCGATGCCGGGTGCAAACAGGCTCCACGGGCACAGCTCCCACAAGGAGCTGGGACTGCTCCTGGTTTTCTTTACTATTGTTTACGTTGCCGAAACACATCGGATGCCACCACACCGGCACCACCGGGAAACCATCCCGCCCGGGACTCGCCACCCCGCTCGCCTGGCACAGCAGGAGGTGCCAGCATGGAAAAGCCACCCTGGATAACGCTGTGTCCAGGCCCCGGTGGCACAACCTGCCCTGAGAGGATCTGGGATCTGGCTCCGGAGCGGGAGATGCTCCAAGGGCCCGGCGCGGCTCAGCCCACTGAAAAATTAAATCGTATCCAAACTGGCAGGTTTAATTAAAAATATTCCAGCTTGTCTAAGGATACAAACCGCATCCGGCACTGCAGCAGGGATCTGCATCCAGAGCTCCAGCACCGGCACGGGCCTCGTGGCCAGGCTGAGCCTCCGGCACCGGTGTGGAAGAGCTGCTGGGAACAGAGCTACTGGTTTAACTGGGAGCCAAACCATCACGTGGCGTGTGAGCGGAGCTGAGGGGACGGTGACACCCAGCCCGGCATCACCATCCTGCCCCGTGACTTGGGGCTCCTGGCAGGGGCTTGGAGGGATGTAAAACCACCAGGAGCCTGGTTTGGGGGGAGCACAGGGGGTCCCTGCCCCCCCAGGGGGGCAGCTTTGCCATGGGGAGCAGCACGGCCACACGTGAGCACACGCATGGACACGCATGGACACGTGTGTGCGGGGTCAGCGGGGCCGAATTGGGTGATTTCCCTTTGTTTATGGGAATGGCAGCAAACACGTCTGGGGGGGCTCCTGGGAGGGGGGGACGAGCAGCTGAAACACCGTCAGTGCCGCTCTTGGGGGGCTGAGTTGCCCCTCAGCATCCTCAGAGCCGAATCCAACCCCCCCCGGGAGCACCTCCAGCCCCCCCCCCCCCAAAACCTCCCCACTGCAGCCACGTGCCCCGGTGACAGCGGTGACCCAATTCCCGTGTCACCCCGGGGACGCTGCAAAAGGGGGTCTCTGGAGCCTCTGCCCGCGCTCAGCACCTCGGCACCCACCAGGATGTGACCCCAGCACCCGGGGGGACACTCTCACCACCCGTGGGTGGGTGACGGGGGGGACACAGGGCACTGACGGGGATGTGGCACCGGGGCACAGATCCTGCACCGGCCAGAGCTGCCCCCAGAGTCACTTTGTGGGTCAAACTGCCGGGGGGTACAAAGAGGGCCCCCCCCCAAGACAACGCACCCCATCCCCACCATCACCTCTGTGGGACGGAGGCTTGGCCACCCCCTGCCCCCCACTCCCAGCGCACCCCCAGAGCAGGATCTGGCCCTGCTGGACCCCGAGAGAGTGGGGTGGGGGGTCCAGGGGGAGCACAGCGGTGCCACACGTGCCACCATCACCCCCCACCTCCCCCGGGCACTGGGACAAGCAGAGGTTGGTGTCCCCGAGGGGATGTCACTGTGGCAGGTGTCTGCCCCCCCTCCCGACACCCCAGGGGGGGTGGATGGGTTGGGGGTCCCCTCTGCACCCCCTCCCCACAGCTCACGACCTCTTTTGGCAGAGGGAAACTGAGGCAGGGCGGGAGCGGCGCTCACCCAAGGTCACCCCGTGCAAATGGCACAGCCCCGCGGGCAGCCCCCCCACCCCGCTCTTCTGGGGGGTGCTGGGCCCCCCCAAAGCCCCCTGCACATGGCCCGGGCTCCCCAATCCCTTCCACCCCATGGTGGGGGGTCCAGAGGGGCCGGTGGAGGTTTGGGGTGGCCCCAGCACCCCGACTGCTCTGGGTGATGTGGGACGAGGGAGGTCAGGCCTGGGGGGCCGGGGGGGCATGTTGGGGTCTGGGGGTGCCCGGGGCACCCCACAGTGAGGGGACAGGGGAGGATTCGGGTCAGGCTCAACCCCCCCCCATGTTATTTCTCCCTCCACCAAATCTGCCGACGGTGCAACGGTGCCGAGCCCCAAAAGGGGGGGTGGGCCCCCCCAGCCCTGCCCTGACGCCGGGGGGTGTCAGCCCCCCCATGCACGGGGGGTGCCCCACTTCTGCCAGGTGCCCCCCCCATCATCCCTCGTCCCCACCAAGTTACAGCCCCGAGGCAGAGCTGGGCACCCCCCGAATTTGTGGGTGCTCTGCCCCCCACCAGCCCTGCGGGATTATTTGGGGGGGGCACAACCACCGACCCCCCCCGGCTGAGCCGTCGCTGTTCCCTTCTGCCCTTTTGGGGGGTGCACTGGTCGGACCCCCCCCTTTCAGCCTCTGCACCCCCGGGCCCAGCAGAGGCTGCGCGGGGTGGGGGGCACACACCAGACCCCCCTTTTTTTACCCCCCCCCCCAAAAAAACAACAAGCCCCGGCTGCTCCCCGAAGAAGCGGCGGAGGTAAAACGGAGCCCGACGAAGCAGGGACAGCCCCCCCATCTCCATCCTCATCCCCATCCCCATCCTCATCCCCATCCCCATCCTCATCCCCATCCCCATCCTCATTCCCATTCCCACCCTCCCAGCTCGCGGCGGGGGGGGGCTGAGCCCCCCGCGCCCATCTCCGTGTCCCGGGGCTGGGGGAGGGTCTCGGGGTGCCGGCCCGGGGTGCTGATGGGTGGGATGGGGGCGTGGGAGGGGATGGGGGGTGGGACTGGGTGCTGGGGGGGGGATGGAGGGGGATGGGAGCGGGACTGGGGTGCTGGGGGGGCTCGAGGGTGCGCGGGGGGGACTGTCGGGGGTGCTGGGTTGAGGAGAGGGGTGCGGGATTGGGGTGCTGGGGGTGCGGGATGGGGATGCTGGGGAGGACCAGGGTGCTGGGGGGGGACTCACATCAGGGTGCTGGGGGGGGGACACCGGAATGGTGGGGAGGAATCGGGGTGCTGGGGGTGGGGCACGAGGGTGCGGGATCGGGGTGCGGGGAGGGTCTCCGGGGTGCCGGGGTGGGCCGGGGGTGCGGGCTGGAGGTGCAGGGGGTGCGGGAGGGGGCTGGGGGGGGAGAATAGGGGTGCGGGTGGGACCCCCAGGGGTGCCGGGGTGGGGATGAGGATGAGGGATGGAGGTGCTGGAGGAGGAGGGGGGGGGCGCGGTGAAGGGGGGCACAGGGTGCAGAGAGGGGAGGGGGCAGAGGGGTGCGGGCTGGGGGGGTGCGGGGGGGCCCCTCCAGCCCGTGACCCTTCAAGGTTCCGCCCGCTCCGCTAACAAAAGCGCTGCTTCCCAATGCAGCAGCGGCGGCGGCGGGAGGGGGGAGGGCTGGGGGCGGGGGGGGCACCCCCTTTTCCTCCCATCCCCCCCGTCCCCGGGAGGGGGCAACGGATGGAGAAGGAGGGAAGGGATAAACCGGGACGGGACCGCACCGGGAGGGAGGGGGGCGGCCGGAGGGCGGGGGGCGAGGGAGGGGGGGCACCGATCGCGCTCTTACCTCGCCGTCCCGGGGGGTGTCCGGGGGGGGCTCGGGGCACCGCGCACCTGCGCCCACCGGCAGCGGCTCGGCCCGGCCCCGCTCGGCTCCGCTCCGCCGCGGCGGGAGCGCCGGTACCGGGGCCGGGCGGGGCGGGGCCGCGGGGGGGGGGGGGGGGGGGGGGGGGGGGGGGGGGGGGGGGGGGGGCGGGGGCCGGGCCCGCCCGGTGGCTGCGGCGGCACCGGGGCCGCTCCGGCAGCAGCGGCGATGGAGGAGCCGCCGCCGCCGCCGCCGGCGCTCCCGGAGCGGCTGCGCCCCCCGCCCTGCCCCCGCCCCGGGGAGGCGGCACGGCCCGGCCCGGCCCCGGGCCCCCCGCCCCCGGCGGGGAGGGGGGAGCGGGCGGGGGGAACCGGCCCCGCCTGCCTCGGCCCCCCCTCCACACAGGGACATCGCTTCCCCCCCGCGTTCCCGGGCACCCGGAGGGGTGCGAACCGACCCCCCTCGTCCCCTGGGTCGGTTCCCCCCATCCCGAGCACCGGGAGGGGCTGGGATTGACCTCCCCCCCACCCCGGGCACTGGGAGGGACTGGGGCTGATCCCCCCCATCTTCCCCGGTTTCCCCCCGTCCTTGGGACGAAGGGGGGTTCAGACTGAGCCCCCCCACCCTCTGCCTCAATTTCCCCAGTCCCAGGCACCGGGATGGGCTGGCACCGAATCCCCCGAATCCTCTGGCTCGGTTTCCCCCATGCCTGGCACGGAGAGGGGCTTAGACCGACCCCCTCCACCCCCTGCCTCAGTTTGCCCCCTTTCCTGGCACGGTGAGGGGCTGGCACCTCACCCCCCGCCCTGCCACAGCCTCGCACCCCACAGCAAAGCGGTTCTTCTGTTTTGCTTCCAAACACGTCCCTGTCCCCAGACTGAACCCCCACCCCCCGGTGTGGCCCCCCCAGCCCCTGCCTCAGTTTCCCCTCGCCCCCCACGGGTGCTGCAAAGTCAAACCTGGCCCCCCCCGGCGTGCAGGGGGTGCCAGGGTGGGCACCCAGAGGGGCACCCGGAGGTCTGGGGTGACACACACAGAGTAGGGGCCCAGCACGGCTTTGCTTTCACTGCTCTATTGCTTTGCCCCGGTTGTTTTTCCCCGAAAAAAACCCCAAATCAGAGTATTCTGCTCCTTGTCATGGGTGCACTGAGTTGTGCCCGGGCTCAGCCCGCCCTGGCGAGCAGGAGGTTCCTAATGTGATTCACCTCTTCCTGCATCCCTCCGGTCCATCCCGGTTCCCAGGGCAGGGAAAGGGACAGTGACCCCCGGGAGGGGACACTGGGCCGCCCGTGACGGAAAAGGGGGGGTCTCCAGGGGAAGGAAACCGCGGCCGTGACTCAGCGCCTGAGTCACCGTCCCCGGGGGGACATCGAGGGGACACCGCGAGCCCCTTGACCTGTTCACACAGCCCCGGCCCCCCCTCTCCCAGCGGCGGCCCAGCTCGGGCTCATTACGGCTGATTAATCAACGCTCGGAATTAATTCCTCCACAATTCCTGCGAGCACCGTCCGGGAGCTTTTTGCTGAGCTGGCAGCATCATCCTGGGGCACCCCGACATCCCACAGCACCCCGACATCCCACAGCACCCCGACATCCCCTGGCACCCCAGCAGCGTGCCATGGCACCCTAATGATCCCACAGCACCCTGCCATTCCACAGCATCCCAGCATCCCGTGGCACCCTGATATCCCGCAGCACCCACACATCCCATGGCATCCCAGCGCCCCACAACACCCTGATACCACACGACACCCTAATATCCCAGGGCACCCCAATATCCTGAGGCAATCCACCATCCCATGGCATCCCAGCACCCCTTGTTGGCACCTTGATATCCTGTGGCACCTCCCCATCCCACAGCACCACAGCGTCCCACAGCATCCCCTGGCACCCCGACATCCCCTGGCACCCTTATATATCCCTTGGCACCCTAATACCCCGCAGAAACCCATCACCCCATGGCACCCTGACACTCCCCAGCACCCCGACACCCCACAGCCGTGACGGCCCCAGAACTCCCCCGGGGCAGGAATTTTGGCCGGCCCTTTGGAAAACTGCGGCCCTGAGAGGGCTCTTCCCATCCGCAGCCTCCGGATCGGGATTCATTCCGGGATTTGGGGATTATTGTGACCTTTAAGGGAATTCCTGCGAAGTCCCGCAGCCACCCGTGCGATGAGCAGCGCCGGCCTCGGCTGCGGGGGGCGGCGGGATGAGGGGGGGTCGGGGGGGGTCGCTGCCCCGCCAGCCTCGCGCATCCCGAGCACGCGGGGTGGGAGCCGCGACCCCCGGCGTGTCCCGGCACGCCTCGGCACGGCACGGCAGCCCAAGGCCACCCCCGCGCCCTGCGGGGGCCCGGGCGGGGGTTCGGGGGAGCGGCGCCTTCCCAGCGCCCCGCTGGCAGACCCCCCCTCCCGGCAGGTCCCCTCCCCGCGGGAGGGACCCCCACCCTCCCCAGGGACCCCCCGGCAGTGCCCGCTGCCCCTCCCTCGCACGGGGGGCACTCTGGGGGGCCGGGGGGGCTCTGGGTGCACCCCAATGCCGGGGGGCCTGGCGGGGCGGGTCCCACTCTCGCTGGCGGATCCCCCCACAGGGGTCCCCTCCCTGTCTCTGTGTGTGTGTGTCTGTGCACACGTGCACATACGTGTATGCATGTGTGTGCATGTCCATATCTGTGTGTGCATGTGTGTGTGCATGTCTGCACACGTGTCTGCGTGTGTGAACATGTGTGTGCATGTCCATATCTGTGCGTGCATGTGTGTATGTGCATCTTGGCACACTTTGTGTGTGCATGTGTGAACATGTGTGTACACGTGTGTGCACGTCCATGTGTGTACTTGCGTGTGCGTGTGTGCATGTCTGCACGCTTTGTGTGTGCATGTGTGAACATGTGTGTGCATGTCCATATCTGTGTGTGCAGGTCTGCACACGTGTGTGTGCATGTGTGAACGTGTGTGTACACGTGTGTGCATGACCTGCACGTGTGTGTTCATGTGCACGGTGTGTGCACACATTGTGTGTGTGTGTGCATATGTACATATGTGTGCCTGTGCATAACGTGTGCATGGCCTGCCTGCCCATGTGTGTGCACATGTGTGTGCATGCCTGTGCATATGTACATGTGTGTGCAGACATAGTGTGTGTTCATATGTACATGTGTGTGTGTGCAGACATACAGTGTGTGTGCACATGTTCATGTGTGTGTGTGTGCAGACATACAGTGTGTGTGTGTTCACATGTACGTGTGTGTGTGCATGTATGCACGTGTAGAAACGTGTGTGCCATTTCTACATTCATGTGCACCCGCACACACGTGTGAATCCGCACACACGTGTGCATCCATACATGTGAGTGCATCAATACACATGTTCAGCCATACATGCATGTGCATCTATTACATGAGTGCATCCATACACGCCTGTGAATCCATACACGTGTGCATCCCTACGTGTGTGAACTATACACGTTTGCATCCATACATGAATGCATCCAAGCACACGTGTTCATCCACACACACATGTGCATCCATACATGTGAATGTATCCATACATGTGTGTGCATCCATACATGTGTGTGCATCTATACATGTGTGTGCATCCATACACACGTGTGAATCCATATATGTGTTCATCCATACACATGTTCATCCATACACGTGTGTTCATCCCTACATGTGTTCATCCATACACACGCGTACATCCATACATGTGAGTGCATCCATACATGCGTGTTCACACCTACACATGTTCCTCCACGCACACGTGTTCCTCCACACACACGCATGCACCCAATACACGCGTGTACCCCCCACACATGTGTGCACCCATAAACACATGTGTGCACTCATAAACACGTGTGTGCACCCATACACATGTGTGTGCACCCATACACGTGTGTGCACTCATACACACGTGTACACCCATACACACATGTGTGCACTCATAACACGCGTGTACACCCACACACACGTGTGTACCCCCATACACACGCGTGTACACCTATACATGTGTGTGCACTCATACACGTGTGTGCACCCATACATGTGTGCACCCATACACGTGTGTACACCCCTACACACGTGTGTACACCCATACATGTGTGCACCCATACATGTGTGTACACTCACACACACGTGTGTACACTCACACACACGTGCCCGCCCCGCAGCCCCCCACGCGTGTCCCCCCGGCCCCACCCGCCCCCCCGCCGTGCCTCCCACACGCGTGTGCACACGTGTGTGCGCGCTCACGCGCGCGCGTGCCCGCCTTCCCTCCCCCGGGAGCGTCCCCCCCGCTCCCCCAAAACCCCCCCGATCCCCCAAAACCCTCCCCCGTGTCCCCGCGGTCCCCGCACCCGCCGGCGGCCGTGGCGGTGCCGGCCCTTCCCGGCAGCCGGTGGCGCTCGGGGAGGAAGAGTGGTAATTAAGTTAATTTGCACATGCAAATCATCCGCAGTTGGAATCTGTTAATTTTATAATTTGATGTTTAATGTACATATCTGCTGTGTTTTCCCAGCCAGAAACCCAACATTTTCTGGGTGCTAATGACGGGGGCCGTGCCCCCGGGGGGGTGGGATGGGGGGACAGGGACCCCCCCGGCTGGGCGGGTGCTGGGGAGGCACCGGCAGGAGTGGGTGCACCCCCCGGGCGGGTGCCCACTGAGGCCGCTGAACACGTGGGACAGCCCCAAAAAGGGCTGAGTTTGCCCCGTTTTGAGGGGCAGCGTGGGGGTCTTTCCATCCCCTCCTGCCCAGGAGGTGTTTTGGGATGAGCTGAGCCCTGGCAACTCGTGTCAGCCAAGGCACAGAAGGATGTGCCGATCTCCGGTGGCACCGGTGGCACTGGTGGCAGCACCCAGCACCAACCATCAGCACCCCAAAATGCAGGACACACGGACAGGGCGTCCTGCCCCCCTTCCCAACACATCCCTGCGAGCCCTGGAGGTTCAGCCCCATCTTCAAAGTCCTGCCTGAAAATGGGGAGGGGGCTGCAAAAACTGGGGCTGTGCCCGGGCTGGGGCCAAATATTGCCCCGAGGATGAGCCACACCCCGGGGCTGAGCATCACCC